TATAACTGCACTTGCTCAAAAAGAATCCTAGAATACATTTTTTTGATGTTGTTTTTCCATGTACAACTTTTGAGTACCTTATTATTACTTATTAATTATTTATTATGCTTCAAAATGTGACTTTCTAAAAGGTTTTTTTTCCCCACTGTCACTGAAGGCAAATATTTAAATTTACTTTCTTTTAAGTAATTTGAAAATGTATCTCAAGTTCAGCAAAGTAGTGTAAATAATAGGTAAAACCATACATGAAAAAGACATACATTCTTTTTACAGGATAATATATCTTATGTAACACTGGATTCCATCAAAGAGGAATCTGTAGGAAAAAAAAAATCACATTTACTAAAATTAAACACTTCTATATTTGATAAGTAACGTTATTAAGTTATACAGGTTACAGTAACATGGTTGTCAATTTGATTTATTTGTGCATAAAATAGAGAATGGGAGCTATTTTGCTGCTGTTCACAATAAGTAACATTATTATCTTGTGTCTGAATAATTGATGATACATATTATTGTGTAAAAGTTTGCATTTTCAAAAATGCTCTGTAAAATTGTCCATATATTTTGTATAAGCTCTGTTTACATGACTGAAAATGTGTATGAATGTAGGCAGAGCACTAATGAATATAAGAGCCTGGCTATACGTGCTCTAATAACTTCAGGCAATGTGTTCCTGTCAGATTAACAACAATAAACATGGAAATTTTGGAAGGTTTTGGCTCAGAACAACACAAATTCCTGTAATACGTATTTATTCTATGGAACACAGGAACAATAAGGAAACTAGATTTATCTGAGCTGCTTGGTGTTTGCCACTGACATCAATGGGAACAGGATGAAGCTTAGGATTTCCCACTATTAAAACTGACCTGGCAAGATGAGATTCACTACTTGTACAGTCCTGAAGAGCCAGGGGGTCTCTAGGAAGAGCTTCCAAAGCTATTGAAGACCTGGGAAAGAAGGTGGGGAGAGGAGTGGGAGGGGTGAGGACTAGGCATGTGCTAAGCCTCTCTCAGCCCTCAACAGGGTTTAGACCCTAAAATATGCAGGCATGAACACCATGCTCTGTCCATCTCGTCTGGAGGAACTGATTCCATCCAGACAGTATCATCCTCTTCCTTGCCGCTTCCTTACAGAGAAGAAATAAATTCCAAAGAGTTACCAGTCAGTTATCAGATAAGGTTTAAGTGAAACCTATGGGCAGACATTGATGTCATCAGGCAGCTTGCTATGACTTTTTACCAAAAAAAAAATATTTTATTTTACCAAAGTATTTTCTTTTCATCTTGGCAAAACTACCATATAAAGACCATAAATATTAGTGCATGGGTAATTAAATAATAATGAAATAATAATATAATAAGAATGAAATAATGAAATAATATAATGAAAGTATATGTACAGAGGGGAAATGTGATGGAAACAGATTTAAGGTTGTGATGGACATTCTGTGCAGGTATGCATGGTTCCTGTACTGTTGATAGGGAGTGTGCCTGTGTGATGAAGATTAGCTGAATGAACTTCTGATTTCCTTGCTTTTGCATTCATACATGTGAAACAATAGCCACTTCACAATTATTTTCTTGCATAGAGCAAAAAGCATAGCAAAATAACAAATCAGTCAACTAACCATCTTTTTCTTTAGTCTGCCATTTTCATATCACTTTTGAAATGCTACTCTTTATACGTAATTATCTTCAGCTCATAAAAAAGAAAAAATGTTAATTTTCTTACCAAGTAAAGAGTATTTCCAATTAATATTTGACAAGAGTTCAAAAGGTCAATATTCGTTGTTCACAGTGAGAGCAAACTGTGATAAGAAGGTCTTTCTGCTTTTGGCAATAGTGTAAGCAGCATAACAGACTTCAGTTTCTTTGTGCCTCACTTTGGGAAGATATAATGGAAGAAACTAATTGATAATCTTGTTTTAACTGAGAGTTTTAATTCATCATTGACTGAAAACTGATTTTTTGCACAAAAAGTAAGTTCAATTACTTTCTTAAAATTCATTAAGTGATAGAAAGATTTTCCTAATTTACTGATGTACATGGGAAAAAAAATTCCTAACTTACTAATGTATGTAAAATTAAGAAGCTTGATTATTGACTGCATCAAAGAATTAGGAGAAACATGTTTTGAGAACATTCAATATTAACAGTAATCTAAAGAGCTGCTAATCTTCTGTCAAAATCTTCTTTTCTGGAGGTTGAATGGTAATTTTTTTTGTTCCAAGTTCTCCTTAGTGTTGCTTTCAGAGTAACTATTGAAGTGTTTTAATACACAGATAAATCAGTATGTTTGATAATTGCTCATATATTGTATGTGTTTATGATGCCAAAGAAGGGCTTTCTAGGCTTTCTCTCTTTCTCCACCTCAGTTTTCTATGAAATTAGATGCTTTTTTACAGAGCTAATATACCACTATACTTTTGCCTTGCTGTATTCCGATTACAAGAGAAGAGCTTTAGATGAACTGTTCACCAGAGCTGGGAATTTTAGGGTGTAAGAATATCTATTTGCAGACTTTCCAATCTGAATTTGATTGTCAGTTATTAAAGCATAAATAGCCAGTGTATATACCGAACCTGCATTCATTTTGTAGGAAATAATGTTGCAATACTGCAGTAATGCAAGACCTCCTAGGAGGGGATTTCTGCACTGGCCCAAGGGAAAAGAAATGCCTGCAGCCGAGTCCTGCTCATGTCTCCTGTGTTCTTTAGTTTGATAACCAAGTTCTGATTTTGAACATGTCTTTCTGTACTGTTTGGGAGCTGACAGTGATTAGTCTGTCCATCCTGTCTCATCTCTCTGAGTCATCAGGATTTACTCGCTCTCCTTTGTCCTTTGTCTCCCAGCCTGAGTGTCCTGAGAAGCTTCACATAGGTGCATTTATATACTCATTAATAAAGTTTCAGTTCTCAAAAAAAAAATGCAGTATAGTTTCAGTTGAAAAATATTTCCTAAGACCAGAGTCAAGAAGTACAACAATGCATTAAAGAGTGCCTGGATTAAAGGAGAAAATTAGGGGAGAAAAGGACTAGGTTTTGGTTGGTTTTTGTTTGTTTTTTTTTTTAATTTTTTTTCTTTAAAGGCCTAATGCATCATGAATAATATGTGAACTCATGGATCCCTTGCATTTTGAACAAAACACCAACAGGCAAATCCTAACAACTGTGAACCAAGCAAGCAAGCAAAACCAAGTCAATTAATATTCTGGTCATTTATGTATTTATTTTAATATTTAAAATATGACTTTCTATACCACTTTCAATTTTCTGCTTCATTCTCCTATAAGCTGGTACAAATCAAACGAAGAAAGTAGAATCCAATAAATAAGAAGATAACTAATAAAATATTATGCAAAAGTATAAAAGAGGTTATAGAGTATCGATAGACAAGGACTTCTTTCTTTCCAATAGATAAAGACAGCCTGTCTTTGCCATATACATAACATCTGTCTATTATGGAAAAGCTATTATTCATGAAGTTAAAATAATTTCTTCTAATTGGAAAGATTAGAGTGGCTTTTATAGCTGGCAGTTGCCTTCTGCAGAAAAGAACATCTGTAGACTTCTGAGCATATTAAAAAAAAAATTACTTCATTGTTTGCTTCTTTGCACTGAAGAAAATATTTCAGTCCTGTTCTTCCAAGAAATTAAATTGCAGGGAGAGGTGAGGTACCCAGCACTACGTAGAATTACACTCACTGCAGAAGACAAATGTGTCACACAAATAATTCTGTATGCATGCGGTATTACTTATGGGAAAACAACAGTTTAAATTTATGAGCTAATTAATCATTCAAATATACACAATGAAAAAGAGATCAGTCTGCAACACCAGTATTCCATTGGTAATAAAATACAGATTCAGTAGTAAAGAATTCTTAAAAAGCACATGTTAAACATAACATGTCATTTTATTGATGTAGGTCATGAAAAATGTCTCTTTTGTATGAGAAACTCTTTTTACCTATTAGCTTCAGATTATTTTCTTTAAACAGCAGCACTTGATTCTAAGGTATGAAGGGAAAATACTGCTTGCCAATGACTGTTTAACACTGTATTAGAAGCTGAAGAAAACAGACTGTAATTGAGGACTCATAATCTTGTGTCCTAGAAGTTTTAATACTAATGATTGAAAAACGTGTTATGGAATAAAAAAATAGGTAGAAAATTGCTTCCACAAAGGAAACAGTCAGCTTCAAATGTAGTCAGTTAGCAGAAAACCTGCAGGTACTCAATATGCCTCTGGTATCCAATTTCCAGGTTTGGGTGTTTTTTGGGGTTTTTTTTTGGTAGATTAGCAGTCACATTTTTCTACTTTGAAATAAAAAATCTCCTTTACTGTTTTGTGAACAGTCCATAATAGATCGTGAAACTGGTTACATGGGATATATAATGAAGCTCACTGTAAAATAAATGCTGTAAAATACAGAAAGGTAACAAAAAAAAGAGAAACATCATTTATTAAACTTTTGTTTTATATATATATATAATTTATTTAAAAATATAATTGGTTAAAATGGGAGCTAAAATACCGGGCCGAGTAAGAAGAATAAATTTACTGTCTCTTTTAAAGGATATGATTGGATCTCACTAATCTTACGTTTGTATGAATCTAGACTAACTGACCTAAAGTCAATTAATATATACTTGTGAAAAAAGTAGTGCAAAATCAGATTATAACCTCAGTGTAATTACCACAGTAATACTGAGAGACCGGATCTAATTGAAATGACAGAATAGTTATTAGTCTTTGAGACTGCCCTACATAAATTCATGACTGCTGTAAAGATGAATGTGTGAAATTATTTTTATAAATAAATTACATTACCATTAACTTGATGTTTTAAGTTCTTTTCAGGATAATTTGTCTCTTAAAGTTTAATCACACTTGTTGCAGTGATCTTTAGATTATTTATACATTGAATTTCTGACATTTCTGTACTTGCAAAGCCAAAAAGATAACTTTACAATTGTGCTTTATTCGCAGCATCTGGCGAGGACCAAATATAAACTGCACAGACAGTTCAGGCTATACTGCTTTACATCATGCAGCTTTAAATGGACACAAGTAAGTGCCTCACCTTTAGTTTTTATGTAGAATGGTATTTAACTGCGTAACTTAAAAATATGTGGCATAGCACTGAGATTTTCACAGAAAGGTGACAAACCCTGTCTTACTAAAATATTCTTATTTCCCATGGGATGTATTAATATAAGAATTTTTGACACTGTCATCGATATCAGCATGTAGTAATAAAAAATGGGAAATGCGGTTTAGAAGTTATTGATTCTAAACTGGTTCTTCCAAATTCTTGCTTGATTTTGAATAAATTTATTATTATTATTGCTAGTGGTAGCTCTAGTGCTTTTTAGCTGGTGGGAAATTACAGCAGAAAATTTTGTAGTAACTTGTGTATGTGTATGTACAAATGTATAGTGCATTGAATGTTTAAGAAAACTATTGTGGAACAAAAGAACAGTATAGATTAATCATTATCAAAGTAAAAGTAGCATGATAAGAATATTTAGTAGTTATACACTTGAAAGCAGACAAAAAAGGCTATTACCTTGTATGGGACCTTGTATCTTTTCCCTCCCTGCTGTCCATCCAAGTTACCACATGCATGTCTCAACAAGCTTGGGGAAAGCCTGCAAAATCCCCACGGAGGCGTACTGCACAGGCATACCAGGGCAGGTGAACTCTTTAGGGCATTGACATGTTAGGAAAAAAATGGAAACTTGCTACGTATTTTGTTATTACACCTTGTAATTTGTTCTGTGTTACCTCTGTTATTACTTGTTGCCCCTTGCTACGTTACCTGCATTGTATTATGCTGCCAACTCCATGTTGTTATTAAGGCAGAACAAGAAAGAAAGCTTTTAATGAGGTCTAAGTTCTAGTGGGATGGACCCCACTGTAACCAGTGTAAGAAAGAGCTGCCCCACTTCTTGCAGTCCAGCTATCTTGTTTGTAAACTGACAGTGTTAACACTGTCTGGATTTTCACTAAGGAAAATTTTGACATAAGGCTTTGGGTTATTCCTCTGTGGGAGATAAGGAACTGATCAAAACCCAACTGAAACTGAGAGTGATTTGCACTAACTTTAATGTGATTTTGGACTGTCCATAAGATAACATATGAATCCATAATAATTATATGTTTAGTTTACTCGTTTAGCAATTTTTGCATTCTTCCTTGGAAAAATTAAAACTTTAGGATGTATCTTTAATTGTATTCTAGAAACCTGCATATTTTCTTTAGTACAGATCAATCTTTTGGTGAATATAGGATATTCTGTTTCTGAATAAATAAATGAAGTTAACTTACTGTTAAACCTGATATTGTGCATTTTCCAAAATTCCAGTTCTGTAGCAAGATTCAGAATCATCCATTAATATATTTTACCTCCATGGAATTAGGTCTAAGTCCTTAATATGGTCTAATAAACTCAGCTTTTTTTTAAAAAGGGAGAAAATCACATTTCTCTTGTTTATAGTTTATGGTTTGTTTCTTGTGCCATTGCACATTTTTGACTGACAAATGCCCAAGCCTTAGCCTTAGCTTGCAAAGATTACTGGTTTTAAACAGATGAAAACTGGTTTTAGTATGTTTAATACTGACTATAAACCAATAGTTACCCAGCAAAGTAAAAATATTGCTGTATAAACGCTGAATCTATCGGAGATTTCAAGTGAATCCTAGCAATATAAACTATAAAATCCCAAAACATACAAAAGCCAAATAGCATTTTCAGAGACAGTGTTGGCCAAACTTCTGCTGAAGTCAGAGAGAACTTCAAGATGTGGAGTTATTTACAGCAGCAGATAAAACTGCAGCTTTTGAAAAGGTCATAATGGCCACTGGCTGCTATGACCCCTTACCCTCACAGCAGGGTAAGTAGCAGTTACTGACATTACATTTATAGCTTGTTATAGTAAAGTAAACTGAAATACATCATGAGTTATTTCATGAAAATCATGATGGTTCAGGACCTGCTATCCAAGCCGTCATACTGATCCTGCTACAATGGTAGCACTGTCAGCAAGAGAATTGGACAGACACCCGGTGGTTGTAATTTCGTTAGTCACCACAAATAACAAATAAATAGCTTTACACTCTCTTTCAGATTTGAAACTTGATATTCCAAATCAATATTGGGTTGACATGAGAGCCTTCCCACTTAGGAGAAGTTCTTGTCCTTTGAAAACTTTTGGGGTTTTAATTTTTCACACTTTACATTAGGATGAACTTGAGAGATTTCAAAGTTTTTCAGGAAAAGTGAGAACATAAGACTTAATGACCCAACCAATACTTTGTGGCTGGGACACTTGTTGGACGCCAGTGTTCAAGTTTCTGCTTGATCATCGTATGTGATGAATTCCCTCCTCCTTGGTTATTCTGGGATAGTTCTCTTTCCTTTTGAAACTGTTCTGCTTTATATAAGTAATTAAATCATATCTGGGGCAGGGACTTGAATCTCAGTCTCCCTAAGTAATTTTACTTAGCCCAGTAATGTTACTGGGCTAAGGACTCTCAGTCTTCTCCTCTCTGAAATTTATTTCTACAAAATGAAAAAGTTCTGACAGAGCACTAAAAAAGACTTACCCTAGAGAAGTGTGATGGTTCAGGGCATTCTTGAAGAATTAAGGAGACCTAGGTTCTATTTTGTAGTTTGAATCTTGCAACAGACTCTTCCCAATAGTTGTTGTATATCATTATCTATAGATTTCACTTGTGGAAGGTTTTTTTGCTGTTTTTCACCCACATATTTCAATTTCTGTTTCCTTTGATTTTTGTCCCTCAAACTACTCTGTATCTCTAGCCTTCATTAGACCATCTACTGCAAGACCATTATGACATGAGAAGTCTCTCAAACCTTATTTGTACTAAGAAGATTCTGTAGCAGAGCTGCTCTTTCTTGGTTGTTTTCATGTTATTTGACCTTGTCAGGAGTAAGTAAAATCCAGCTTAAAGTCTCCCTCAAAGCTTAGATGTGATGACCCCAGTATCTCTATGATTTCTTTTGGAGACAATTGGGAGTTTCTTTTCACTCTTACTTGCCACATTTTTCTCTCAATAGGCAATTAAATAAGGTTCCATCAAGGTCGGGAGAACAATTGCCTTGGGATTTACCTTCTGTCTTAATTTGTAGTCAAGGCCTTTGTTTATAGTCATAACATAGGTTGCACTGAGCTTCTTCCATCCCCCCCCTCCATTTTTTGAGCAAAATTGGTAAGAGCCAGTGTTTCCATATTCAGCAAAAATGTGCATAGAACTGCCAACACTGGATCATAGATGCTATTAACTTAATAACTAATGAGGTCTGACTGTGTCAAACTGTGAGAAGACAAATAGAGAGATAAAACAGAAGTTATTTAATTTTTGACATACTTGATAACCAACGATCATACCACACAGCTGATTTTTAAGTTTAACCTTTGAAGTTAAGTACAGGAGACTGCTTAAAAATCAGGGATGCAATATACCAGCTTATACTAATCTTTCATTTAATGTATCATAAGCCACACTGAAAATACTGAAAGGAATATAATAAGAATTAAAATGATAAAAATAACTTTTTTCCTCACTGCTCTCAGGAAGCTGGGTGTGGGAAATGAAAATAGAAGCAGTTATTCCATAGAAGATAATATATATCTAACTAGATCATCATTACATTGTTTCCTCCAAAAGAACTCTTTGAGAGAGCCTTAAAGAAGAAAACCTGTTACTTTTAAACTTTACTGCAAGAACCGTGTCCATAAAGCTACCCTCTGGTCTCCCTGCGTCCAGAACCCAGCAATGATGGGGATAGGAATACTTCTCTGCCTTTAGTGCCTGGAAGGTTTGTCTTGAGGGACATGCACGTGGCCTTGACTGGCAAATTCTAAAAATGATTCCATGGCCAGGTGATCCTGTTGAAAGAAACAGATTCAGAGAACTGATGATAATATTGTTGATGAGTATTCATAAGAAGTAAGAATCATTACAATGAATAACATTTTGGCTATGTTTTACTAGCTATTTCATTCTTAGAAATGATTGGTCTTCATTTTTGTAGCAGCTTCACTTGAAATACAGGATTTTTTTCTATTAATTCAGGGTAAAAATTTTGGTAATATATATGTTCATGTAAAAACTTAATAAAACAAGCTTCCCGTAAATTTTTAGATTTACTTCCTGTTTTCCAGGGATATAGTTCTCAAATTACTTCAATATGAAGCATCAACTAATGTGGCAGATAATAAAGGTTATTTTCCTATTCACTTGGCTGCTTGGAGAGGAGATGTAGACATTGTGAAGATTCTCATCCATCATGGGCCATCACACTCCAGAGTGAATGAACAGGTGAAGTGATAAAAAATATTTGTGTACATCATCAGAAAAGAGCAGCACATATTCTTTAGGTCTGGCAAATTTATAGCTAAATTAAAAAAAAATAAATATTTTCCATTGTTTCAGTAATTTCTTCTCCAAGACTGATAAAATCTTCCAATATAAGCATACCAGATATCTTCTGGATGGACACTGACCTAAAGGATATTAGATTTAAAAAGTATGAAAAAACCTTCTGCTTGTTTCTGAAAGATCGTATGAAGACATACTCTAACTGTGCATCTTATATATGTTGGTGTAAATTTGCATAAATTCTGTGTCTTTTTAACTTTATTAGGTATTAAATTCCTGAAAAACTTTGAGATAAAATTAATATTCTTGGTATATTTTGAGTGTACTGTGAATGAACTGATATGCAGAGATAAATGACAAACCAGATGGACTGCATGTATGCATGTGCAGCAGAAAGGACACATAAATACTAGCAAAAAATGATGAGAGTATTACAGTGGGTAAAGGCAGGATAAATACGTTGCATTCTGTTGTCAAACATATGGCACACCTTCTGTTTTCATTCTGTATATTCTTATATGGTCCATTTGTAGGGTTAGTATTTAGAAATAGAAGGCAATTAAAATCTGACACCATCTATAGTCAGCTGAACTGCTTGAGGACTGGAAGTAGGCTGTGAAGTATGAGTAGTAACCATAAGCTATTGAATTTGCCAGGGTAATCAGGAAGTTATTGGAATGTAAAGGTGGGAGTCAGCTCCAGATTCAGATCTAAATTTTAGTGTCTGCATTGCCTGTATATGCACCGTTTTATTCCACAGCGGTCTAGTCAGTGTAATAACAGGAGCCAACAGGGTTATTCAGGTGACCAAAAGTAGGGCAGGATTCATTTGCCCAAACACAGAAATCCAGTACCTTCTAAGGCCCTGCAGTAACTGAGACATCTGTGTGGGCCTGAAGGTATGACAGAGGATGCTCAGAATTTCCATGTCTTTGTGGAGTGGCTGATGGACTCCAGATAGGGTACCCTACAGCACCTCAAATCGAACAAATGAACTGCACTCCCAGTGTCTACGTTAGTGTGGCGGGAAGGCAAACTGTGAGAAAATAAGAAATGTTAGACCTAAATTGCAAACACTTAACCAGTGTGAGATGCCATTCCTTGAATAATCTATTTGATATTTGAGGTTATACACTTAGCCATTGGAATCCGTACAGTAACTATGATACGAATATCAAGTATTAGTGCAAGAAATATAGGAAAATAAAGTAATAAAATATGCCTATGTGACAGTCTTCTGGGAAATCCTATAATACCCTGGCTCATCCAAGAAAAAATACAAAACCCAAAACTTGTCATTCTGTGGTTTGAGTTACAGATTAGGAGTTTCTCCGAGTTTCTCATTCTCATCAGCTGTTGTGTGTAGAATGAAACCAGTTGAATTGTAGGATTACCTTTTGTCAAGGAGAAGGTTTTTTTCGGTTTTATTTCTGCAACAGAATAAAAAAGCAACTTTCTGATTGCATGTTATCCATTTGCTTTAAGAGATTCCTTGTACTCTACTGACAGAAAACTGGAAGCTATGCAGGAACTTCAGAGAGAGGTATAGTGAAAAAGTTATTTCAGTATGATGAGAAAGAGAAATGTAAATTCAAACCTACTTCTTCGCAATCCCACATACACAACGAAACTTCTAGAATATTCTCGAGCTTGATTAGGTGTGCTGTCCAGTCTCTCTGGTTTGATCGCTGGAGCAAATAAGCAGGGATGCATCTGATTCTGTACCCCACTGACTCAAAAAAGGTCTCGTCGTTAGATCTCCTGCTGTTTATGTGTTTTACCCAAAAGCTTTGTAATGGAAAATGTGTGAGCAATCCTCACAAGAAGTGTTGGACCTTTAGTCTCTTAAGGGAGTCTTGATCATATTAAAATTTGAAGTTAAACTCATACATACACAGTTCTTCTGACCTTGTAAATGCCCTGGTGTTCCACTCTAGACAGTGGCCAGCTGTAGTAGGTGGAACTTTAGTAGGACCACTTTTCTGGCACCGACTTTCCCGTGCTAATTAGCACTCTACACAGGAGAATATTATCCATATCATGGAATGAGGGAAATGCCATGTTGATATAAAGCCATCTCCACCCACATATCCTCAAATAACACCAGAGTGGCATCCTCACCCTAATACCTATTGTACATTCTTATGAGTCTGTAGGTTTCTGAGGCTTTTGCTTATTTGCTGATAGGCTGTATAAGGCAGGTGGCTCCTCATAGCTTCTCTCAGATCAGAGCTGAAGCTACAGCTTAGAAGAAAACCTGGGCTATTTTTCTTCCTTCTTTTTTCTTCTGAGAGTTGGGGAGAAGGATAGTCATTTTTCCTGACACTTTTTCACCACAGCAAATAATATACTCAAGTCAGACTTGTTTTCCTGGGGGTTTTTTGGTAAGGATCACATTAAGAATGTATGTGCTTTCAGTTTAAGAAAATAATTTTGTTCATTATTTAAAAATTGTTGCAACTAATTTGTAACACATCTTTGCTTTTCATCTATTTTATTAAAATTCTACGTAAAAGAAATGCTTCTAAAAACTTAAGTGAAAGTAATGAACAACACAACAAAGTAAATGAGAAGCTCATGATGCATAAAGGTATATTACATGAATTAATGGATTTACTGTGGTATACTGTAAATTAATGGAACTGCATTCTACACATTTAAAATGCAGTTAACTAGCATCATAGGATCATATCCAGCCATATCCAGCATCTAAAGCTCTGAATGCCCCCTACTGTTCCTATTACATAAAATTGAAAAAAAACAATACAGAGGCAAACAGTTAAATGACAATTATTTTATGGGGCTGGTGGAATGTAGACTGGCAACTCTACACGCAGAAAATGGTTACAACATAACAATTATGTAAGAATAATTCTATCAATGTTTAATACAGGTGTCTTAGTTGACATGCATGATATATGTTTTAAATTACAAAATATGGTGAAACTACAAAACGTAAGTGTTTAAACTTCATTGATGAAGACTTGAAAATATGTAAATTATAAATAGAATGAAGATCAAGTAGGTAGTATGAGATCAAGATTTGTTAGTAAATTAATATCAAATATAATGAAAAGGTGTGCTGTTAACAGTCAGATTAATTACATGTTTGTTTATGTAAAGACATCTGGGTAACAAACATTTATTATGGCAACTCATCATAAAATTACATAAAAGATAAGAAATC